CCAAGCCTAGGCCCACAGTGCCCCCTCGTGGGAGTCATCAGGTCTCTTTATTCCAGCAAAGGGAAAGCCAGTGACAGGGTGGTCCGTGGCACTGCCCTTCCAGTCCCCACAAAGATACCCTCTGAAAGGTCCTTCCCTTGTGGACCCTAGCTCAACAGTTCTCAAACTTCAGGATGCATCACAAACACCTAGAGGATTAGTTAAGCGACAGGCTGCTGGGTCCCACCTTCGGTTTCTGATTTGGTAGGTCTGGGTTGGGATGCCAAGGATTTGCAGCTCTAAGAAGTTTCCAGGTGATGCTGATGATGCCCACTCAAGAGCCCATTTGAGGACCACTGCCTTTGCATCATGGCTCAGTGAGAATTCTAGCTTCTGAATTCACAAATGTCCTAGGCTTATTAAAGACTGCTAAAGCTGTGTAACTTTTACCAAGTTTCTTAACATTTCCTCTGTAAAATGAGAACAGTACCTCCCTCAGAGTAGTTATAAAAGGTGAGATAGGTAATTCATGCAATAGGCTTACTTAGCTGAACCTGGCATACAAAAAGCACTCATTAAATATTAAATATTCTGCTGCTGTTTTTATCAACAGTAGTGATAGCATTGCTGTTCATTTCCCAGCTTCTTGAAGGCAAAAAGGTCTGATGACTCCTACTCAGTCACAGAATTCACAGGTGGAAGGGACCTTAGACTCTTCCTTCCAAGGTTTTCGTAAGCTGGCTGATCAGCAGCTTTACCTGGCAAGCTGTTAAAACTTCAGCTTCTTGGGCACTGCACAGACCTACTCACTCAGAAAACTGAGGCAAGTGGCCTAGGCATTTGTATTTTTAACAAGCCCCCAGGTGCCAGGTGAACCATTTATCTAACCCTTGCACCTCATTCACACTTGTTTACAATAGGCTGAGTAGGCATCAGAAACCAGGTATCCTGATTCCCAGCCTATTCCTTTCACCACCTAGACTGGTGACTACCATACCATCTATCCCTACTTCTGCACAAACCCCCTCTCCATCCAACAGGCATATGAGCTGCGTCCAACAGATTAAGTATCTCTTCTGCAGAGGAATTTAGCATGCGACAAGAACACTTGATCTACTGTTGAACATCTAATTCTCCAGCATTTTCTTTTACTCAAACAAAATATTGAACAAGAGAAATCTTCAGCCTGGCACACAAGGTCCTCCCTGACCTCCCTGCTGACCTCTCCAGTCTCATCTCCCACCAGAACCTCACTTGCACCCCCAACCCTCAAGATTGACGATGTTCTGGGGATCTTAATTTCGCAGTGGCTGGCTTACACAAAGATCAAGGGTGAAGAGATGGGAAGGGGCAGCTGTTAAGAGTGGGGGCACACTCACTTCCTAGACCCACACTAGAGTTCTAGAACTCAGGAAAGTCTGTTTTGCCAATGTAAATAAATCAAGTGTCAGAAATCTGCTCTTGCACCTAACCTCGTCTATTTTTGAAATGTAGTTCTTCCTACCAGAAATGTATTGTGCAAAACTGTTGGAAGCCACCAGTCACACAGGGTCTTCCATCTCACTGATTAAGAGAATGCCCACCTGCATCCCCAATTTCCTGGCAGAATATTGTCTTGCCACATCCCACAGATCCCTGCTTGTTCCCTCGTGTTATCTACCATCTTTCATGGCTCCAAATGAAATGCCTATTCCTGAGTCCCGATCAGACCATACCTTGTCCCAGCAGCTAGTTAAGAAGCCTTCCAAGACCCAGCCATCCCACATGATCCTATGGCCACAGGACTCCTTTCACGAATTTTAACCAGTTATGCAAGTTTGCTGCTTCACAAGGAACGAAAACCAGACTTTGACTAAATTGCTTAAAACGCTTTTTGAGGGCAGGGACGTCATCCATCTCCCTAGCTCTCAGAACAGGAACTGATGCACTCAGCAGCTCAGCATTGGGGAATGTGGTCGGCTGACACGTGTTTAATATCCTCATGGCAGTGGGTAACTTAAACATATAGTAGGTACACAAGGTATGAGTCTTGTAAGGCTTAGAAGCCCTGCAAAAGACAGCTGCTCAGTTATCTGGCTGAATAAATGCACAGCAATTTCAGCTCTGGAGTCAAATGTTCTACTCCACCCACCACTCAGTGGCTGAGCAACCTTAGTTAAGTGGCTGGAGTGCCCTAAACCTTCTCCGTGGTCCAGTGAGACCTACTGAGGGTTAGTTATTCCTTTTCTCTAACGGAGACAACTGTTTATATTCAGCTCCACAAGAGTGGGTGTATTTGTTAAGATGCTGTCTCTAAGGAGAACCCAAAATAATCAACTTGTCAGGAAGAAAGAGAGGAGCATTATTAAAAGCTGCCTGATTACTTAGGCACATGCATCTACAAATGGAGCTCAGGGGTGCAGTGCTGAGACAAGCTGTAAAGAGTACCCTGAGTACTTGGTCTCTGGTGAACCTTCTCACCCCTCACACCTCTGGCCTGCACCCCAGATCTTGTGTGCATAAATAAAAATAAATATTAAAAAAAAAAAGTGCCAGAGTATTATTCACTGGAGACTCTCAAAACCAACCCCCTTCCAAAACCACCTATACATTCTCAACACCTTCCAAGATCCATTACCTCTCTCATGAAGCCAGTCTCCCACCAGAGCAGTTAAGGGATGTACTCCCATTAGTGTGGACACTGGCTTAGTGAAATCAACACAGCCTTTTTACATAGGTTCTCTCAATGACTGTTAACAGCAGTGTGGTCTGGTTACTGCTGAGGTCAACAAAGTGCTGAATCTACAGGAATCCTGAAGTTCATGAACACCATAGCCCACAATTTAAAAAGCCAGTTCCTGTATGTACTTGTCGCTGGCCAGTCGCCTTGCACTTCCATTTCCAAACTGTTCGCACATATGCTACATCATTTGAGTCTCCAATAGCCTGGTGATGGCCAGTAGCACAGGTTTCAGGAGTCCCAATTTGAAGGTAATCCATCATGGGAAAAAGATACCCAGCCAGACTAGATGGAGTGTACAGCGGGGACACTAACAGAGGGCAGACTAGGGTGCAGGCTCACTGCACAAAGTGGTGACTGGAAAATACCTATCCTGGGCCTCCCCGGTGGCGCAGAGGTTGAGCACTGGATTATGAAGCTGCCCGCAGGCTCTGCAGCGCGGATTTGGTCTCCAGCCGCCAGGCGAGGGTCCCACATGGCACACAGACCTCTCCTGTGGCCCACCGCTCCCCTCAGCAGTGTTTCATCAGTGTGCCTGTTCTGTTCCCCGCTGTCTCTGGTGAATTCTCTCACCCTCCCGTGCTTCTGACTGTACCCAGTGCTTGTATAAATAAATAAATATTAAAAAAAAAAAAAAAAACCCTATCCTAAGGCAAGCAGCAAACCCTGCAACCTAGCCAGCTGTCATCATCCAGGAAGGTGGGCAGCTGTTCATGCCTTTGGTATTACTAAGTCTGGGAATCCAAACCTTTAATTTAATAGCTGTCCAGTTTTAAAACTGTAACATCCCAGTCCAGTCGGTTCCCTGGAAAAACAAATCCAGCCCTTTATCATGTCTTCCCCAGAAGATACTGTCTGAATCAATACAAACTCTGCTCTCCCTGAGCTTAGCCCAACGGAAAAGCCTCTACCCTCTTGATCTTGATGCCCACCTCCCTCCATTCAGGCGACCTATGTCTTCCCATCAGTCCCTAGACCCCTCTATGGAAACTACCGCCCACCCCAGTTCTTAGTTCCACTAGCCCTGCTCCTGAACTTTATAACCACTGTACCCTAAGATTCCATTTCTCCCACACCTGTTCCCAGCTTCACCTCCTACCTTGACCAACCCAAGTCTCCCAAAACTCATAATGCCCCACCAGTACCCTGCTCCTACACCAACTCCCTCTAGCTATCACAGGAAATTGCATCTTCTACATTTGCCACCAAGCAGACCAACTCTGCCCTCTATGTGATGCTCACTTTAAAATATCACTTACCTCAAGCCCCTATGGCACACCAGCCATTAGCCATTTTGGTGAAAATTGAACTAGCAAAGCCAATTCCCAACTTTCACTTTCCCTAAAATCACACCATCTGATTTCCAGGCCCTAGCAAGCAAAGCATATTCTCTAACAAGAAATCCAAAGGGCCATACAAACCCAAGCTCCTTATTGCCCTGGGCCAGTAGGTTAAGGCCCTCCCCCAGTCACAACCTGGCCATCAGTCTGTAATCCCTTCAGGCAAGGTCTCACCAAGCTCTCCAAAACACTTCCTGAAAACTTCTAAGACTTGCTGTTACTCTTCCTTTATCCTCAAACCACCTTCAAATCCAACCATGTCTTCTACTGCTGCTATCTGAGGTCTCTCTGGAATTTTTCATCCATTGACATGGTACCTAACAGCACCTATAATCTTGACTCCAAAGTGGACCTAACTAAGGTATAAGCTTACATTAACTTCAGGGAAAATAGCATCCCAAATACACAAGTCCCACGGCTAATATTTTCTCAAAAGGCAACTCAACTCAGTAACTCAGTAACTCTAAAACAAGTCTCCCAACCCCAAATGTCCAATACCCAAATTCAGACCCTCAATCAACCCTGATGCCTGAAAAATGCCAATCTGAGAATCAGCAGCACCTGCTATAGAAAAGTACCAGCTAACCCATGTTTCATAAAAAGCAATCAAATCTACCAATAACAAACTACACCCAAATGATCATTACACCAGAACCTCTTTCACATCCCCCCACTCAAAATAAGCCACTCATTACTCCATAAGCACAATCCTGCAATGCAGATGGTGATGGACAGATCCTATTTACTTCAGGATAAAGGATGAAAATGTCATCTAATTTCTACTGAGGTCAGCAGATAACTTCAGTAGTAAGAACTAAGTGGAGTTCTAGGAAAACCAAAATGAATTCATGTTTCAAGTATCTCATTCCAGGCGCTCACATACACTGATAGCAAATATTAACATTAGCACACCAGAATGGCCCCATTTGTTCCCATATTGCAGACACTCTACACCTGACACCACCCCATCACACCCAGCTTTTATTGAATGCTTAATGGAACATGTCAACTTGGGTAGCATCTAAGTTTGCTATAAGAGAAGACTAATGTTATAATACTCCTAGTAAACTTCAAACATATTTCAAACAGCCAGACACATAAAAGGTTTTATTAATCCTCGCATGAAAAATCTGCATGAAAAATCTGCATAATCACCACAGATACAGATAAAGTCACTGCAGAATCTTTACTCCTTCTGTAAATCAAAGAGAAAGAAAAATTTAGTTAGCAACTGCCCTTATAACTCTTTAAAAATTAAAGTTCTAAGACTTCGACAAATTCTAAAATGAATGACACTCATGCAGAACAAATATTAGTATCCTAGAATGATGTTAGGGTGTATGATAAGACAATGGAAGCATCAGGAAAATTCACATTCAAGTTAGAAATGGAACAAAAAATACATGGAACTATTAGTATTTACAGACTGTACAACTCTTGAGAGCATTTCTAAATCTACTCCTAGATCTACTTTCACATGCTCTACTTTTAAATTACTGCATCAGTAAGCCAAGGAGTCTAGTAATCTAAAATGAAAAGCTTGAATTATACCTGTTGTCCAATCTCCAGCTCACTGAATCAGTGGCAGGAAAGGGAGAAAGGAAGAGGGAAAGAAACATTTCATTAATAGTACCTTTTCAATCTTCAAAATAAGCTGCATCTAAGTGCATGCAATCAAGATACCTTAAAGACTGACCATTCTGTTCTTTGCAATAGTTTAAAGAACTTACTTAGACACTGATTTATTCTTCGCAATTGAGAACTCCTAGCCTGGTTACTACGGCTGATGATCCCCCCATAAAGATGACATGCTATCTGATAGTGTCAATCTAGGATGCCACTGACTACTTAGGGATGAAGTACACATACCTGAGCCTTGTGCTCTGCACAGCAACATCCTGCTAGGTATGTTAGCACCATCCAACTGGGGACCATCCCAGATTAAAATCCAGAGCTCAACGGGAGAGCTCTAGATGATCAAGCCATGTCTTAGAAAACCTGTCTCAGCTCAATACTTTAAAAGCCACTACTCACAGCCACCAAAGGTAGTGCAAATTAGTGCTTAAAGAAGCAGATTCTAGCTCAAGTAAAAACGTTTCAATATTGCGCTTCAAACTTAAGACTATTTATTCCTTAATTTAAAATAACTTTATTGCACCCCGAAGAGGCAAATTTGGATGTCAATTTTAGCATCCAAACAAAATCTAAATTAAAAGGAACATTACCATGCTTGACTTTTTTGAGCCAACAAATTCATTTGTGTTCATTTATGCATTCACTTTCCAGGAAGCTTTTCAGAGCAGTGCTAGTGGAATACAACTTGAAGCAGAAAAAGTGATGGCTTAAATGGGTACCCACAGGTAGCCCCTCCACAAATGTCACCATTGAGCATTAACACAAGAGACTCGAGGACTGAATGAAGAATGTGTTAAACATCCTTTAGAACTAAGTAAGGAAACAAAGTCTTTTTGCAATCTCCAGAATGTGTGTCTACATGTCTAAGTCTCACAAACAGGAAACATTCTAAGCCATAAGCAGTTCCTCTGGCAGTTCATCCCTTACTGTAACCCCACTGCATTGGGAAGTCAAGGTGATTTAAGAGACCTGGACAGGCACAGGTTTACTTCCTGCCTGATGGGAATCAGGATCAAATAAGGACACAGGAGCAATAACAACCATTTTCAAAACCCTACTGGCCCCACAACCCTCTTAGGCCACTTTCAATGGCTAAACATGCAAAAAATGTGTTTGAAATGGGAGTGAACCATTCTGAACACATACTTGTGGGTAAAAATGTATCAGTTTTGTTGTGAATATGCAATTACGTTGGAAACTTTCAATTAAAAAAAAAATTGCATGGAAAACTAGAGGTCCAGTAGCAAAAAGCAATGGGATGGTGAAAGACGGCTTGAATGGGTCTTGGGGACAGAGGCTTTGCCAGATTACCTGGGTCAGTTATGACCAGAGGTGCCAGAACCAGTCTTCAATTACTCATGATTAGACAAAAGCCCCCCCACCCCCCAAGTTCTGTGTTAGCTAAAGTTATTGCCCAGGGAATGTCACTCCATGACATATCCTTCCCCAAGTGCCAGTGAAAGGGTGCTCATCTTCTATCAGGTTATTTCACAGTGTAACATGCATTTTTGAGTTTCAAAAGCAAACAGGATTAAGTTTTTCTCCTTTGCTCAATATACAATCTTAAAACAAAGCATTGATATTTTAATAGACCATACTATAAAACTGTCTACAAGTCAACATGCAAAGCATCAAAGCAAATTCAGTGAAGGTGATGCATCCCCACACCGTGCTCACAATCTCAGTACCTGCTAGACACTTCATTTCTGATGAACAAGAAATCCAAGAAAGTAGAGGGAAAAGGCAAAAAAAAAAAGTTCACAGAACACTTGATTATTTGTTAATTTAACAACCCAACACCTTAATTCCATTCAACTATTTACAATTAGCTAGCAAAGCTGGCATAAAGCTGCTTATTGTTAAAATCACCTAAGTCAGGGCTAACTGGAGAGGAAAGCAATTGAGATCACAGCTGCCTCTCCAGCATGCCAGGAAAACATGGGCCACATTGATTTAACTGCTTCTTAAGCCACTCATGCATTTTAAGTAAATAAAGTCTCAGGGAACTAGATCTGCTCTCCCCTGTAACAGTCCATGCCAATTAGCAGTAAAATGAAAATTTTTCCTGATAGTTCTTTGCAAGCCACACAGCAGGATAGAATCTCTGAACCAATGTGGCCCCCATGTTGTACTAATCTGCTGTGAGCTGGTAAGGGGTGGGCAAAGCTACTCTACTGAGGTGTTAAGATACTACATTTTGTAGCGTCTCAAAACACGTTACCTTCTGTAATCCAGAAGAAGTGGGAAGAGAAGAAACATTAAAAAAATTATTAACAAAATCCCTTTCTAGAAACTAAAGACCTACAAGTGACATTTCTCTATCTTTCTTGATAAACTATACCTTTTTGCCAGCGCCAACATTGGCCTTTGCAGTCCCCCTGACTTTCTTCATTCTGTTCTTGCGTTCCTTTCGCTGTTTTCTTGAGGTCTTTTTCTTCTCATAAAGGCCATGCTGAAGGAAAAAGGCATATACCAAACAATCACGACCCACTAGTCAGTAGGAAACCAACAGGGAGCCTAAGGTACTTCGCAGATCAAAATTTAACAAGTACAGGGCCTCCCTGGTGGCGCAGGCAGTTGAGCGCCGCAATGTGAAGCTGTCCACAGCCTCTGCAGGGCGGGGTCAATCCCAGCTGGCCAGCGAAAATCCCACAGGGCACAGCAGACCTCTCCTGTCTCATCGGCTGCTCCCCTCAGAGGTGTGTTTCATCAGTCTGCCTGTTCTGTTCCCCGCTCTGTCTCTGGTGAATCCTCTCACCCTCCCAAGCATCTGGCCTGTACCCCGGGGTTCTTGTATAAATAAATCTTTAAAAAAAAAAAAAAGTACCTTTAACGATATTTGTTTGTGCCAGAGAAATAGTATCAGACTAAAAAACACTATGTGCAAAATGGTAGAGGAAATAAAAGTCCCCTCAATGCTTCCTGCATCTTTAGTTCAAGGATTGGTTGTTGTCCTGTCTTAAGCCCAAAGCTTACTAGGTCCCCAAATTTTGGTTTCCCTTCAGTCTCTTCCATTTTAACTCCGCATTACTCCCAGATGACTAACATAGGAGCCTTTACCGAGATCTCCTTACCACATGGAAACTGCTCAATCTACTCTCCTGCTACCTAGAAAATTACTTTCAAATCTTTGTTAAGGATCTCATTTTCAATGTCACCTTCTCAGAAAGCCCTCCCAATTAAGAGTAAATCTAGGGCCTCCCCGGTGGCGCAGCGGTTGAGTGTTGGGTTGCGAAGCTGCCCGCCTCTGTGGCGCCGGTTTGATCCCCGGCTGCTCCCCGGCCACCAGAGGAGGGTCCCACATGGTGCGCAGACCTCTCCTGCCGCCCGCTGCTCCCCTCAGCAGTGTACTTCGGTCCTTCTGCCTGCTCTGCTCCCCGCTCTGGCTCTGGTGAATTCTCTCACCCTCCCGCGCTTCTGACTGTACCCAGTGCATGTATAAACAAAACAAACAAACAAATAAGTAAAACATGCCTCTATTTAAAAAAAAAAAAAAAGTAAATCTAATCTATCACATCAGTGAGCTATCTGATAGAAACAAAGAGCTAAAATGGGAGAGCCAGTTTTTTCAAAGTACTAATCTTTTTGCTAGTTTACTGTACAGAGTGTAAGTCGGGAAGTTTGCCCAGTCCACACTGATTCACTCTGTAGTGCTTGGCACTCAAAAAACTATGCTGCCTGGATACCTGCAAGAGTTAAGTCCAAACTCAAGATACTTATTTTCAAGCTTCCTAAAACTCATCCCCCTACACCCAGCTCTAACTTCTTAATACTTTATCTGCCCTTCCAGACCCAGTTCAAATGCCACCTCCCCCAAATAGTACAGACCTCCCCTTCTGAATCCCCAGATTCTCTCTGTTCCTCTATCAAAGAATCTCTCTTCTCTTAACCTTTTAAAAGTTCTTTAAGTTTATGTTGTCCCTCCCCAGACTATGTGCTCTTACTCATTCCACTGTACACACAATACGCTATTGAAAAAAAATTTTCAGTTGCTATTGACCAAATGAGAACACCTACTCTTGCAAGTCTGTGTTTGGGTTCATTTTTCTTTGCATAATCCAAGGAATCATAAATCATGCCAAAGCCAGTTGTTTTGCCACCTCCAAAATGGGTTCTGAATCCAAATACAAAGATGACATCAGGGGTGGTCTTGTACATTTTCGCTAGTTTTTCCCGAATTTCTGTCTTAGGTACTGTTGCCTTTCCGGGGTGAAGGACGTCAATGACCTAAAAGGAGATATCAAGTTTATAATGAATTATAGCCTCCCTTGTGGCATAGGAGTTAGTCTCAGTGCTATCACGACAGCCTGTGTTCAATGCCTGGCCAGGGAGTTAACCCACATATGGCACAGCAGACCTCTTTGTCTGGCACGCTGCTCCCCTTAGCAGTGTATTTCAGTAGCTGTGCCTGTTCTGCTCCCCACCGTCTCTGGTGAATCTTTTCACACACACCCCCACCTCTGGCCTACACCCCAGTTCTTTTTCTTAAACAAATTTTGATATACTAGCCCTTACCATTTGTTTTCGCTGAAGCAGTCGGTTGGTCATGAATTTCCTAGTCCGGATAGTCACTGTGTCATTCTGAAAACATAACACACTATAGAGTTAATAAAGGTACAAATTCCTACCTCCTTCCAAATCCCCTTAGCATAGTACCTAATTTAACATAGTACCTAAATCACAGGACCCTCTAAATACACAAACTCAGTATGAAGGAAATGCATTTAGCAAGTTTTGTGTTAATCCATGAAGTCTCACTTCACTTTGTTACGGGAATCACTGGACCAGGGTTTCCCAACCTCAGCACTACTGAAATTTTGACCCTCCAATTCCTTGTTGTGGAAGACTGTCCTGTACACTTTAGGATGTCCAGTAATAACTTTAGCCTCTAACTACTAATTTCAGTGGCAACCCCCACCCATGACCTAACTTCTGTCAAGACTTTGCAGACTTCCCTTGGGGACCACCCCAGAGTTAGCAACATATTTTGGCTTAAAACTGACTCAAACAAATGTTAGTCACAAAACCACACGCGCAAACTTGACACAAACGTTGCCATCACCTGCACCTAAACTAGGATTCTTGAATAAGCATCTCCACAACAAAACCCTATTTCCATCCCGAAGGACCAAAAGCTTTTACACAGTTAACTACCACCGAGGAATGTGGGCACTAAGTAAACATTTTATTCAAAAAAGCAGGAGGTTTTCATGCTAACTTGCTTTAGGTTTCAACTTCAGTAGGACAAAAAGGTACCGAGGTTCACTCCAACTGTACTTCCCTCTTGAAATGTTACCTGGGGCAGAGCTGATGCCTTACAGGTGAGGCTAAAAACGGGTGTACTACTTCTAATAGAGCCATTAACTACTTAGACTAAGTCATTTGATAACATTTTTCCCAGGGGTTCAATATCCCCAAGGTGAAACGAAAGGATCCACTCAGTTGGCGACTTTTTGGGTTACACAGGGCATGTTTTCACTCGCCGAAGCTGTCAGAGGCGCTGCGGGCTCTCTTCACCCCTCGGCACGCCTGCTCCCGCGAGCCGCCAACCCCAACTTCAGACGGCGGTGGCAATGCCTCGTTCCCCACCGCACCGAATCCACCGGGCTACACAAAACTGCTAAAAGCAGTAGCGTCTACTGGTCCCTAAGTCCCGGGCTCCCATGCTCCTGGGCTCCCATGTCGGCGGCGCAGCCCGGATTCCCCGCGGACCGCCCCGGGGACCTGGGCAACCGGTTTCTGCCAAACATGGCCAAGGAGCAGCAGCCTGGCTTCGCGTGGCTGCAAGACTGACGGCAGGACCTGGGAGCAAAGGATGGCACCGATATGCGGCGGATGACTATACCGTTCGGGGAAACTCACCATGATGGCGGTGGATCTTCAGGCAGCCAGGAGGAAAAGAAAGTTACCCTAAACCGGCCAATCATATCAACGCGCACGGAAGGACCCCAGCCGGCGCCGACGTGGGGCGTGGCTCAAGCCTCGAGGCTGACCGCGCCGATGCCTGATTGAAAGTGCCTAAGCCCGCCTGAGATGCTCTTTGGCCACGCCCCCTGAGGGGCTAGACTGGCCAATCCGGAGGTGAAGAGGCTAGACGACCTAGGCTTACGCTAGCACGTGGTCAATTGCAGTTCCAGTCATTATTTGGAATTGGCCCATACTTAAAATGCCTGTAAATTGAATTGCATTTTAAGTTGCCTCAGTCCGAGTTAGAAGTATTAAGGCTGAAAAACATTTTAGGAGGCTTCACCAGACTCCTCATTTTACAGCTAGGGAAACTGCAGAAAACCTTACTTAAACTTGTGTTGTTTCAGGGCCTCCCTGGTGGTGCAAGGGGTTAAGCTACGAAGCAATCCGAAGTCTCTGCGGCACGAGTTTGATTCCCTGCCGGCCAGGGAGCAACCCACATGGCACAGCAGACCTGTCCTGTGTCGCCCGCTGCTCCCCTCAGCAGTGTATTTCAGTCAGTCTGCCTGTTCTGTTCCCCCTGTCTCTGGTGAATCCTCTCGCCCCGCCCCCCCCCTCCCCGCATCTCTGGTCTATACCCCAGCTCTTGTATGCATAAATAAATAAATCTTTAAAAAAAAAATTTTGTTGTTTAAGATACTCAACTGTTTTAATGTATTCCAAGTATTTTAGATTCCCTGGTGATACTTTTGATTAAAAACGTTAAAACTTTAATTTTTTTTTTTGGTTTGGCAACTCAGCCCTTACAAAAAACGAACTTTTACAAGCTCATTGATCCAAAAGTTTGTCGGTTGTTTAAAGTGAAACAGACATGTAAAGAACTTAAGTATGCATGTTCAAAGATAGACATTATGAAAAAACTTGCTGGATGTTAGTATGGACCATGAGACAATGGTACAGACTTTGAGGGCAGCTTTCCTGTTTCCCTCAGAATATGAACAGTTAATATGCATTGAGTGATTGTAATGAGCCTACATTCTAATTTTATCTTCATTTTGCAACTCAAACTTCAAACAAATCTAAGAAACGGTGTGTCAATTACTTACCCCTTTTGCATCAGGGTAACAAAGACACAGTGTGGTTCATTATCTTTCCCAAGATCACACAGTATTTCAGTGGTGATGATACCCATGGAGACACTTTGATTCCACAACCTTTGCTCTTAATCTCTAATGATAAGTCACTCATCAAATCTTGTTTACATAGTATTGTCAACATTACTCCAAAGATATATTAAGTGATCAGCTGCTGAATGAGGGTTGTAACATCCGATTTGCTTGCTTTTTGTCTATGACAATTGAGTTTTCCTAGCGTGAATCAATAATAAGTGAAAATGGCATAGCATCCCTTCTTCAAATTCAAAGGTGTGGAATGACTTTATTGGGTTCTATTCACAGTTTTTCACAAATAGTAAAGAAGTTTCAGGTTATGTAACACTGTGGTAGTGTGATTTCTTTGTTAGTCTCATGCACTAATGATATCACACTCGGATCACCTCGCATGAGTTGTC